CTTCCTTCCTTCCTTCCTTCCTTCCTTCCTTCCTTCCTTCCTTCCTTTCTTTTTCTCTCTCTCTGTCTTTCTACTTTGTAGGTTCTTTGTGGGTTCTTCTAACAATGTCTTCTCTGGCTCAACTGCCTTCTCTTTTCTAACCCCACTCAGTCTCTCTCAGCCTCTGCTGGCTTTTTATATTCCTCTCCTGTTCCCAGAAATCCAAGAGGCAACCCACCCTGAAGGTCATAGGGTCAAGCAGCTGTAAAGGCTAAGAATCCCCGAAGAGCCAGCTGACTAGGGAACCCTTTAGAGGGCCAGGAACACAAAACAATTCACACTACAGTGAGAGGCAGATCCTGAAGAAGGCAAAGTGGTGGACACCCATGAAGGGTTCAAAACCTGATGTGCCTCAGGCCCCTCAGGTAGGACCCCACCCAGGCCACCATCCCAGGCCTAAGACAGAATCTGGAAGAATCTTGAGTTCGATTTTGCTATAGAAGACTCAAGTTTTTTGTTTTTAGTTTTTTTGAGACAGGATTTCTCCGTGCAGCCCTGGCTATCCTAAGACTTGTCCTGTAGACCAGGCTGACCTCAAACTCGGAGATTCTCCTGCCTCTGCCTCCTGAGTGCAAGGACTAAAGGCATGCTCTTACGCCCAGCTCAATCTTAAGACTCAATCTTAAACTCGCAGCAAAATGTATTTTTTTCCATGTGTTATCACTAGCCCAGACTGAGTTTTAGGATGGAAGCTGGGCGTGGCGGCACATGCGTTCAGTGCGCTCAGGAGGCACAGCTGGGCCCACCTCTGACTTGGAGGCCAAGCTGACATATCAAATTCCGGGCCAGCCTCGGGTGAGACCCTGTCAAAAGTAAAAATAAAGAAAAGAGAAGAGTCAGGCTGGAAAGCAGGTGAAAGGACAGGCATCATCCTGCTCTTCCCTTTTCTGTATGGATCTGTGAGTCAGCGCTTTGCATGTGGAAGCCTCGGGAACTATTTTTACTTTCCCTAAGCCCGGGCTGAGCTTCTCCTCCAAGCAGAGCTTGAGGGAAGCTGGTCTTGCTTTTCATTTCATTGACCGTCAGTGTGCTAGAAATTAGACAGGACTGGTCACTGAATAAAATTGTTACACCGACCCCCACTTGGAAAAAGGGATCTTTTTAAAAAGAATTGTTTCGGAGAAGTAGCTTCCTAACTTGAAAAAAATTTTTTCTCACCCCCCTCTTTAAAATGGTATCAGCTCGCTCTTATGATGTCACCTAACGTGTGCTACAAGGCTATGTACAAAGTGTGCTTTTTAAAGTTGGAAGGAAATTAGAGCTGGAGCAATGACTCAGCGGCCAAGAACACTGGCTGTTCTTGCGAGGGGACACAGGTTCAAATCTCAGCACCCACGTGGTGGCTCCAGTTCCAAAGGGTGCTGGCCTCTGGGTACTTGTGTAAGCCACGAAAGTGCGTGCACACACACACACACACACACACCAAATAAATCTTTTCAAAATTCCCAAAAATAAAAATACCACTTAGGACCACTGGGCTTGTGAGATGGCCGTGTGCCACAAAGCCTGAGGACCCACGCTTGATCCTTAGGGCCCAGACACTGGCAGGAGACATATACATGTGTTTTATTTACTATGTGTTTTATATCTAACACACACACACACACACACACACATATATCTATATATATATATGTTATATATATTGAGGATTTTTTTTTTTTGAGACAGGGTCTCTCTATGTAGCCCAGGCTAGCCTTGAACTCACACGCCCAAGCCTTCTCTGCCTCCTGCGTGCTGGGACTAAAGGCACATGCCACCCCCCACCCAGCTTTGACCTTATTCTTTGAGAATGATGTTAGCACTCTAGCAGGCCCCTGCGTCCCCTCTGGAGTTTTCTTGTGGGATAGCCAGTCCTGACTGGCAGCAGGATCAGTTAGTTTTGTTTTTTCTTGGCCAGGTCAACAAATGACACGGCCCATGTCCTTTCTTGTTTGTTTCTGTTCCTAGAGTTTCATGCAGCCCCTGCTACCCTCAGATTCCGTCCTCAGAGAAGGAGAGCATCTGCCCTCCTGAATGCTTGCCTGTGTTGTGATTTTTCCTCAACACGGAGCAGCCTAGGAGACTGACTGGATGACTGTGTGAACTCTGTTCAGGCTTCAGAAGAAAACTCAGAATAAAACTCCCTAGATCCAGGAAACCTGAAGGATTTAGGTTTTTGTTTTGTTTGTTTTGGGGGGTGTTTTCTGAGACAGGGTTTCTCTGTGTAGCCCTGGCTATCCTGAAACTCTTTCTGTAGACCAGGCTGGCCTCACACTCGGAGATGCGCCTGCCTCTGCCTCCTGGGCTTTAGTGGTTTTTAAAGGCTTTGATTGGTGTGCCTTAGGGAACACAGAAGTGTCGAAGCTCTCTTGGCCACGCTGTGTCTGCAGCGGTCCGAACTTCACGCGTGGGAAGTTGCCCGTGAGCAGCTGGAGTTGGACTGACCTGATTCAGTGTCCACGGGCGTTTCCGCAGCTGCCGGGCCAGACTTGAGGAAAGGGCCCTGACGGCCTCCTTGTGGCTCCTCTCTCAGGGTCTGGGGAGCCAGGGCAGCTGGCTGAGCCAGGGCAGAACCTGTTGGATAAGGAGGAGGCGGCTTCAAACACAAGCGCCTCTGAGCTTCTGATGCTTCCTCCAGCCGCTCTCTCGTGCCCTCTGGCCCCCAAGAATGCAGGCTCCGGGGTTTGTGGAGTTTGCACGACTCCCAAGGTCACGGCACTCTCAAGGGCTGATACCTGAAGCCAAGTTGGTCAAGATCAAAGCTGTGCCCAGCCTGGGGCCCCAGGGGCAGCTTTCCGCCTCCTGGGCTGGGGGTGCTGGGGGGAAGGCCTCTCTGTTTGCACACCTGAGCACACTGAGGCAGCTGGACCCTTCCCAGCTTGCACCGCCAGGCTCGGAGACCTCCTCATTCCCAGCCAGGAGTAGGGGGGTCCTGCTGCTCACACACGACCTTGGCTGGGGGGCTGGGGGGCTGGGAGTCTGCACTAAGGGGTGCTGGGGTGGGGGGTGCTGGGTGCTGGGTGCTGGGGTGGAGGGTGGGGGGTGGAGGGTGGGGGGACGCTGGGGTGGAGGGTGGGGGGCACCACTGTGCCCGGCAGGGTGCAGCTTCGAAGCTGAGCTTGCAGATACTAAGCGAGGTCACTGAGGAGCCCTGCAGGGCTGAGGCAGCTCCCGGGGACAGGGCACAGGGTGGCTCACCAGAAAACATGCGCGCCCCAGCCAGGGCTGGCCCGGGAATCTCCCACGAGCGGCGTGGGTGGAAGGAGAGCAGAGGGGTGAGAAGCTGAGACCCCCCAACTCCTAGACCTCACACCTGAGCTTGGGTGGGGTCATAGCAGGTGACACACGTACCCTAGGTTCCTCTCCTGTGTCACCCCAGCCTTTCCTGAGCGCTCACCCCACCCCCAAGAGCTCTCAGGTAACAGCCCGATCCGGCCGGCTGTGCATATGGCTCTGTGTTGTTTGAGTAGTTTCACGTGAACACAGACAGAAGGCATAAAGGTTCAGGTTCATTTGACCCTCCCGGCTCTTGAAATCACCCCTGGCTGACAGATCAGAAGGCTGCGCCAGAACGGTTAGGCCACCTAACTCACCCAGTTGATAACTCTGGTTACCCTACTTTTTTTCTTCTTCCTTATTCATGCCGCTGGGTATCAAGGCCAGAGCCTTGCAAGTACTCTACCAGTGAGCAACTTAGCCCCAGAGTCTATGGTCTTAACTATACCGTGCTAATAACACACACACACACACACACACACACACACACACACACACCTCCATTGCCATTACCAGATCTGCCAGCCATCTTATCGGGACCCTCCCCCAGCAGGCAGCCCACATCTGTGCCTGTTTGTAGCCAGGCCTACGGGGTGCAGAAGGAGGGGCCCACGGCGATAGGGCCCCTTTAAAGGCCCACCGGCTTGGCAGGCCCTCACCTTCTGCTGTCTGAACTGCCAGCTGCTACCCACACCAGCTACGCCAGCCACCATGGAGAAGGCCCTCGCCCTTCTGCTCACAGCCCTCCTTGCGGCAGCCTATGCCGCTCCTGGCCCCCGGAATCTCTTCATCAACCTGGTAAGGCGTCTCTGGGGAGCCCTCGGCGTCTTGGGGTTCTGTAAGCTCGGCTTCCGCTCAGCTAGGCTGTCGCCCCTCAGGTTCTCAGCTTTGTCGGAACACATAAAGGCCTTTCTCCAGGCCGTCATCCCAAGAGGGGCTGGGAGGATGCTCTCTCCAAAGCCAGAAGAACCCCAGGGCTTGTCAGGGCCCCTGGATGGGAAGGTCACATGGCTCAAAAACAGACAGCCTTCTAAGAAACGTCGTGACAACGATCCTGGCCTCTACAGTCCAATGATATCTTTCCATGTGCCCAGCACAGCTCTAAGCACCCAGGGAATGTGCGGTTAGACCTCAGAGGACAGCAGAGAACCAGGTGCCTACCCGAGCTTCAGAGCTCAGAGGCAGGGGAAGCCGGAACCCATGCTGCCTTCCCATCATGCTTCAGTGGAGCAAGGCCTTGCATGGCCAGCAGCCCCGGGGGCAGGCTTGGGAGGTGGGCTAGTCGGGGACAGCCCAGAAATCTGTGGAGATGTCTGTTGGGCAAGGGGCGCATCTTCTGTTTGCATGAGACAGGATTTCATTGTGTAGCCATGGTTTTCCTGGAGCTTGCTTTGTAGACCAGGCTAGCCTCGCCTTAGACTCAGAGAAAGGCACCTGCCTCTGCCTGTCTAGTGCCAGCATTAAAGGCTGGTACCTCTGTGCCCAGTAACTGTGGGGTGCTGTGTAGAGATGGCTCCTCAAAGCATCGGGGGAAGCCGGGCATGGCAATGCTTGTCTGTGATTCCACCACTGGGGAGGCTGAGGCAGAGGGTCAAAGGTCGAGGCCAGCCTGGGCCACATAATTTCAGGCCTGCCTGAGAGGAAGGAAGGGAATTCGGGAGACCCTGCTTTGGGGGCCACCTGCACAGGGCAGCAGGACACCAAGGTGCCAGTGGCCGGTCAGGGTCAGCAGGGAGCGGCCAGGAGCTGCAGCCCGGGACAGCTTCTCTGCCACCCTCTACCTCCTGACCTAGAGGGGAGCACAGCGGCCCCCTTCACACACACCTCACTGTGCTGGGGTGGGGTAAGGTCCGGAGAAGGGGCGTGGGGCGAGGGGTCAGGCTGACGGGTCGTCCCCACAGGATGAGGGCGAGATCTGCTTAAACAGCATGCAGTGCAAGAGCAGATGCTGCCAACACAACACGATCCTGGGTATTGCCCGGTGCACACACAAGGCCTGGGAAAACAGCGAGTGCTCCCCAAAGGTTGGTGCCCCGGGAGGCCTGGGGATGGCGGGGGGGGGGGACCCTGGGTGGGTGTGTGGGGCCGGGCTGTTCCCATTCCACAGGTGGGTAAGTAGAGGCTCCTCTGAGCCAGCAAGTTGGGAAGGCTGTTGGAGGAGGCCCCCTGCTGAGGGACGGGTGCTCGGGTTCCAGGCGGGTGGGCAGCTCAGGCTCACGGAGACTCCGAGCCCTCTGTGACCCTGCTGTCCCTGCCTCTGCAGACACTGTATGGGATTTACTATCGGTGTCCCTGTGAGCGGGGCCTGACCTGTGAGGGCGACAGGAGCATCATTGGCGCCATCACCAACACCAACTACGGCATCTGCCTTGACACCGGGCGCTCCAAGCAGTGAGACAGCGCCAGAAGCTGGGCCCAGGGGGGGCACCTCTCCCTCCCCTCCCCCCCCCGTCCCTCCTGAGCCAGCTGTTGGCAATTAAAGTCCTCCCGCAACCTTGCCCACCTCTGCCTGTCCTTGCTGTGCAAGAAGAACCCTCACAAAGCCTGTGTCTACCGGGCTGGGGTCCCACAGGCCAGGGGGAGGGGGAGGCGGGGCCAGGCAGCCTGGTGAATAGGCAGGCCCCGGGCCTGAGCCCCCGGGGACAGACAGGCAGGTGCAGACAGCACAGGCCTGTCCCGCTGTCCTGGCTCTCCCTCCTCTCGGGGACCCCCTTGCAGTGTGTCAGCGAGCTGACCCCACTCATGTGCTCACAGGTCTGACCACTAACAGCTGCAGTGGGCTAACCCTTTCTAGGAAGCCCGCTCCAGTGACCCTGAGAGGAAGGAGTTATCATCTCTACTTCATAAAGATACTGAATTCAGCCGGGTGGTGGCCGAAGCCTTTAATCCCAGCACTCACTCTGGAGGCAGAGGCAGGCAGACCCTGAGGCCAGCCTGGTCTATAGTGAGTTCTAGGACAGCCAGGGCTGCACAGTAAAACCATGTCTCAAAAAAAATTATATATATATTTGTGTTCTCTGGAGAGCCATCAAATATTAGTTAGGGCCAGTGGGCTGACCCAGTAGGTAAGGCGTTTGCCACGAAGCCAGGTTGAGTTTGTTCCTAGGGACACACATGTTAGAAGAAAAATCCTCTGACAACCGCACCTGTGACATGAGGCCACACACACACACACACACACACACACACACACACACACATACATATTCATACACTCATACATATTCATTTATACTCACACACATACACTCATTCACACAAATGCACACACAAGGGCTGGAGAGATGGCTCAGTGGTTGAGAGCACTGTCTGTTCTTCCAGAGGTTCTGAGTTCAATTCCCAGCAACCACATGGCTGCTCACAGCAATCTGTACTGGAATCTGCTGCCCTCTTCTGGCCTGCAGGTGATCTACAGATAGAACCCACATACATGTAAAACAAAAACAAAAAACCACATATATACATGAATGAATGAGTGAATGAATGAATTCATGAATGAATGAGCTAAATAAATAAATGTGATTTAAAACCTACAAGCTAATGAGGAAGCAGGAAGGCTGAAGGAGAAGCTAGCTGACCCCTGGGCCGAGATGCTGGGGGAGAAGTCATGCAAGGCATGGGTGTCAAAACACACGGGCTCTTCCGGCCCAACAGTCTGCAAGTCATTACAGGCTCGTTACATGGGTCACCTACGCCTCAGCACCCCAAAAGTCCAGAGACAGGAAGTGTCGGCCTGAGTCTTCGAGTTGGGGCCCCTCCTAGCCAGCACCCCTCTTCACCAGATTCTGAAGCAGGGAGCAGGAGGATGAGGAGGATGAACTGTCCTTGCCACCTTCTCTCCCTCTTTGCTAAGAACCTCTAGTCTGGTGGTTCTCCACCCCTGTTGAGACCCTTTTCGGGGGTCAAAGGACAGTTTCATAGGATCCCATTCCGGATGTCCTGCCTATCAGATGCTTACATTTCGATTCATAACGGTAGCAAAGTTACGGTTCTGAAGTAGCAACGAAAACAATCATGTGCTTGGGGGTCACCTCAACATGGGGATCTGTATTAGCTTTGAGACAGGGTCTCACTGTGTAGCCCTGGCTGGCCTAGAACTCATAGAAATCCATGTGCCTCTACTCCTGAGTTGTTGGGACTAAATGCCGGGCACTTACTTGTTTGTTTTGTGGGGGAAGAAGAACATACAAATGTTCGGAGGTCAGAGGTCAGCTTCAAGGGTCAGTTCTCTACTGCCATGAGAGGGTCCTAGGGGTCAAGCCCGGGTTGTCAGGCTTTGAAGTGAGCCCCTGCTGAGCCTCCTTGCCAGCCCGGGGCATGTCTGTGTGAATCCAGGCTTGCTGGGAAAAGGTGTGCTTGCTCAGACAGCCACAGACCTCCGATTCTGTGGAGACCAACTCCCTTCACACGCCTGGACACCAAAGATACTTCCCTCACGCCCTGAAGAGTGTAAGACACCGAGACACTGCGGTCAGTCTGGAGAGGCTAACGCCTGCCTGGCTCTCTCTCGAGGCTCAGTGTGACTGTTACCTCTGCGGCTGAGCTGCTTCCGGGTACCCAAAGCTCCTTCTGCTGGGCCTTTGTCCTCCTTCCTCCATCCTGGAGCCCGTGTTACCTGAGCAGCAGCAAGCCCGGCTCTGGGAGAAGGATCACGACTTGTGAGCCGTGGCCACCCAGCCTCCCTTGCAGCTAGGGTTGGTCTGTCCAATTGTGGTGCTGTGCAGAGGGTTCTCAGCCTCCCTAATGCGGAGAAAAGTGAGTCATACCTAGTGTGTGCTCAACAAAGTGTTCGGAGCCCCGTGAGCTCAGGGCAGGGGCTGTGGTGTACCCCGGTTTTTGTGACGGCCATAGGCCAGACCCGAGGAGACGTCCTAGCCCCAGCTTTCCTGTTAGGCCACTTTCAGCTTTCTCCTGCCAGCCGGAGAGGCTGTACTGTGTAATCAAAGTCCGGGGAGGAAAGGTCCTGGGCTAACCACAGAGACAACCAGGAGGCACAGCAATGGGCGCAGGCGGGTCTCTCCTCCCAGCCAAACCGCCAACTCCAGGAGTGCAGCTGCACAGGGTTGAAGTTCACTCAAGGGAGGCTGGACAGGGCGGGTCACGTGACAGCACGCTCTGATAGCACCTCTGATAGTCCCAGCAAGGCTCACAGCCAACTGTATGCAATTCTGCCCTGATTGCTTGAGGCCTGGAGGGGGGCGGGGAGTGGTCTCAGGGAGAGGATGGAGTAGATTAGGAGGGGCGCCATCTTGGCAGCCATGGGGGAATTGGGGTCACCCATGCTCCTGTCAGGAGCCCCTCACCCCTCACTCCTGCATTGTAAGTACACAATGAGCTTTGGTGGAACGGGGCTTTGGCTCATTGTCAGGACCTTATTTACGAGCAGGAGATAGATGTTTTAGTTCTTTCCCATCCCGTCCCCATCCCGTCCCCATCCCGTCCCAGGGACAGAATTCTTGTTTCGCTGTAGGAAGTCCATGTCCCGGAAACAACAGAGGCCCCCGGAGAGGCAGGCATTCATTTCACTGCCAGAGGAAGCCTCCAGCCCTAGGAGAAGAAACCCCAGCTCAACTCCCTTGGCTTCGTGATCCCAGAGCTCAGAAGGCCGAGGCAGGGGCGTCAGGAATTCAGCACCAGTTTGAGCCCAGCCTCCTGAGTGCTGGATTACAGGCGTGCACCACCATGCCCAGGAAAGGTGGGTTTTTGCTTGCACGGTGTTTGCTGAGTCCAAGGCTATCGTCTGTGCGGTGACTTGAAAATCCGGATCTCCCATAGTTCCCAGGGCCACAGCGTCGGGAGAGGACTGGACAATCAAGCACTTTCTAGGTGCCCACGGACGGTGAAGACAGCCTTCCGCTGCTGATGGTGCCAGCTACGCTCAGCGCCTCGCAGGTCTATGGGTTCCAGCGTGGAGTGCTTGGTGGGAGACAGACAGCGACGGGACGCCCCCTAGTGGCTGGAAGAGTCGAGCGAGCATCTCCGGCGTGAGTAGTAAGTGTGGAAAGATGGAAGAAAAACTAAGGGAGTAATGGTGTCATTTTAAGAAGGAGGCCTTTCTAGCCTAGGCTGGCCCGGAACGTGACGCAACCCTCTGCCTCCGCCTTCCCGCTGCATCTGGCTTATGCACGTGGACGTTAGTGTGCGGCTCTGACGCCCACAGGGGAGTAACCTATTGGCATTTCAATGTCCCGGGGCAGAGAAGCCTGTACGTCTGTAGCTAGTGATGGCCGCAGAGCGACAGGCAGAGAAACGAGCCATCGTCACAGCCAGGCTGGTGGAAGGCAGGTCTGACACATGGGTTCGCACACACAAGTTAATGCATTGATTGACTGAAAGAGAGAGAGAAGAAAGAAATGGGCGTTTGAAAAGTCTTTGAGCCCAGGATAGAACACAGTCTGCTCAGCTACAAGTCACGGAAATACCTGAGAGTGGCCAAGGAGCCGGCTGTTGTGGCCCGTGCCTTTAATGCCTGAACTCAGGAGGCAGAGCCTGGTGGAGCTCGTGAGTTCAAGACCAGCCTGGCCTACATAGCTAATAGCTAGGATGACATAGTGAGGCCCTGTCTCAAAAAATAAAAAAAAAAAAATGCTTATTTATTAAGCCAGCTATCTGGCTGAAGGTATGGCATGGTCCAGGCTACTCCCACACTCCCCTGCTGGAGAAGAAGAAGGGAAGATATTTCATCTTAATAACTCTTTACTCTTAGTTATATTTATTTACTTATTGGGCTGGCAGACTCATGGCTTTGGAGTTACTGGCCCTTGTGATCCACTCAGCGTGGGTGCCAGGAACTGGACGCTGGAGGAGCAGGAAGCTCTGTTAACTCCTGAGCCCTCTCTCCAGCCTCACGTTCTTTTTTTGTTTTGTTTTGTTTTGTTTGTCTTTGAGACAGGGTTTCTCTGTGTAGCCCTGGCTGTCCTGGAACCCACTCTGTAGACCAGGCTGGCCTCGAACTCACAGAGATCCACTTGCCTCTGCCTCCCAAATGCTGGAATTAAAGGTGTGTGCTAACCATGTCCAGTTAGCCTGACATTCTTGTGTTAAATTTTTAAAATTAATTTTGTGTGTGAAACACCCACACATACATGCACACATGCTGTGCTTCACATGTGAGTGTCAGAGGACAACTTTTAGGAGTCCCTCTCTCCCACCATGTGGCACCTAGAGAAAGAACCCAGGTCATTAGGCAGCAAGTGCCTTCCCCAGCTGAGCCATCCTATTAGCCCACATTCTTGCATCTATACATCCCTACAGGTTTGAACACACTCCCGGTAACCTCAACCCTTCTGTTTCCCCCACAAAGGATTCCCCTGCTCTGTGCCCCCCCAGCCTCATTTCCCCACCCTGCTCCTTCCCATGAAACTCCCCATCCCTCCATCTCTCTATCCCTCACTCCATCCCTCCATCCTTCCATCCCTCCATTCCTCCATCCCTCTATCCTTCCATCCCTCCTCCATCCATCTCTCCATCCTTCCATCTCTCATCCTTGTACCCTCCCTCCCTCTATCTTCCTCCCTCCCTCTATCCTTCCCTCCTCCATCTCTCCATCCCTCATCCATCTCTCCATCTCTCTATCCCTTCATCCCTCTATCCCTCCATCCCTCTATCTTTCCATCTCTCCATCCCTCCCAACCCTAGTCCCACCAAGGCTTTAGCCAAAACCAAAGCCTGGGGTGGGGGGAGAGAGCCCTTTGTGCCTCAGTCTCCTCTTCTGCCTTCCCCACAAAGGGCAGACAGACACCAGAGCCAGGAAGTGACTTTAATGCTAGGGGGGAGGAAGGGGGGTGGCACCCGGGAAGAGACACCCAGGGGTGGAGGAGGGCCGAGCAGCAGCAGTGATCTCCTCTAGATCATTTGGCACCGGCGGGGGCACATGGAGTCCTTGGAATGGCAGCTCAAGCCCATGCGGCAGGGACATACGATGTTCAGGCTCCTCTTGGTCTGTGGGAGGAAAAGGGCATCACACCTCTCGGGGATGGGGCAGGAGGGGGATAGTGGTGGGAGATGTCCTAGCCCGAGGTTCCACACCCTATGACACAGACTGTGCCAGTCAGTTTCCTCGTCTGTCCAGGGGGCGGATAAAAGCAGCTGCCATGGTTTCTCTTATTTATTTATTTATTTTACTTCAGCTGTTTGCCTGCATGCCTGTTAGATCACCTGGAGCCGCCGGGTGGGGGCTGGGAACTGGGCCCCACCCTCCGAGAGCGTAGGTGCTCTTTGTGGGGAGCCATCTCTCCAGCCCCCTGGGGCCCTGGCAGTGGGCCAGGTGGGAATATCTCCTTCCTAGAAGACTTTGTGCCCAGGGCCCTCGAGTGGGAACAAGACATTCTGTGCCTTTGCATCTTCTAGTTGACAACAGCCCACCTGAATGAGCCCTGCGAACTTTCCCCAGCCGCCTCATGGAGAAGGAAACCAAAGGGCAGGGCAGTCCTAAGGGCAGGAAGTCGGGGAGCCAGGATGCAAGCTTGGATCTTACTGGGTAGCTGAGGTCCCAGCTGGCCTCGCAGGCCTCCCAGGCAACCAGGACATGGTGACAGGGAGATGAACATTAGGATGGGGAAGCGTGTCTTCTCCCATCCTCACATCAGGGATGGCAAGGAAAAGATCCTCATTCACCAAGCTTCTGTTGAGCTTCTACTATGTGGCTAAGCCAGGGATGAGGTTTTGCTGGGGGATGAGCCTCTGCAGGCTCCCCTATGGGAGGCAGCCCAGAATGTGGGGATAAGGCTTAGAAGAGAGATGGCTGGATAAGGAGAGGTTGGTAGCGGGGGAAGGGCACCCCAGGAGGCGGGGGCAGCCGTGTATTTCCGTCCCCACGTTCCCTGCTTGTCTCACCTGGGGCAGGCACGGGGTGCCCACGCGGGACTTGGAGGAGCAGAAGGCCCCGTTTCTCTCCAGGTCGATGAGACAACAGTCACTTGTGCACTGGGTATAATGGACACATTTGTCTCCGTTCGCCTGTGGAAATAACCCCTTGGTCACCGGCTCTTGTCTATGGAAGGATGAAGGAGGTCTTGGCACTGCCCAAGAACCCAGGGGTCCAGGAAGAGAAGCCACAAGACAGTCTCTTCTGACCCCACCCCTGTGTCCCGCTCCCGAAGCAGGACTTGGTTGAGCAAAAGAATCAGGAGCTGGGTATCAGTTGGTTCCCTCTGCACCCCATTTCCTGCCCCTCCCCTTCATGGCTCCCAGGCCACATTCTGACTACTTAGTGGGAATGGAGAGGGGGTGGCAAGATGGCTCAGCCAGCAAAGGTGCTTGCTGTGTGAGCTGGGTTACCTGAGTTCAGTCCCAGGGCTGAGTAAAGATAGGAGAAAATGGACTCCATTGAGATGCCTCTGACCCCATGCGAACAGACTTGGGAGGAAAGAGAGGAAGGAGGGAGGGAGGGAAGAAGGGAAGGAAGGGAGAAGGAAGGAAAAAAGGAGGAAGGGAAGGAGGGAGGGAGGGAATAAAGGAAAGAGGGAAGGAAGAAAGGAAAGAAGAAAAGGAAGGAGGGAGGGAAAGAGGGAAGAAAGAGGGAGGGAGGGAGGGAAGGAAGGAAGGAAGGAAGGAAGGAAGGAAGGAAGGAAAGGAGGGAGAGAAGGAAGGAGGGAGGGAGAGAAGGAAGAAAGAAGGAGGGAAGGAAGGAAAAAAGAAGGGCGAGAAGATGGAGGAGGGAAGGAAGGAAGGTGAGAGGGAAGGAAGGGGGAGCCCAGGGGTGAGCTCTCAGTAGATGGGGCCCTGGCCAGGGTGCTGGTCTCCAGTCCAGGAAAGGTGAAGTGCATGGGGTCTTCCCGCACCTCCAGCCAGGGCCTGGCTCCCCAGTGAAGGGGGCTCCCCACGCTGTCAGCACAGGGAGCCCGGGACGCTGCTCACCTTTTTATGGTTTGAGCTTTCGTTGAGGCTCGGTGGCAGGGTCCAGGCAAACAATGCCAGCATGGTGACGAAGGCCTGAGTGAAGGCCATAGCCTGGGCGGCCGAGAGCTTCCTCAGCACTGCTGGGGAACAAGTCCCTGTCACTGTGGGGGTGGTAGACAGCCAGCGTGGGCCCGATGGTCACAGGTTGTCCTGCTCAGTCGATGTGGGGTGAGGACTGCTAACCCCCAGCTTAGGCCTTGGCAGCCCCTCAGGGGATGGAGGGAGGAGAAGGCGCTGGACCAGCAGGGCCTTTGTGATGTGGGGCCTTATACGGGCCACTTCCAAACACAAACTGTAAAGAAAACTTCCTTTAAAGTGTTGGGGCTGGAGAGACGGCTCAATGGTTAAGAGCACTGGCTGCTCTTCCAGAGGACTCGGGTTCAATTCCCAGCAACCACATGGCAGCTCACCACTGTCTGTAACTCTAGTTCCAGGGGACCTGACACCCTCACACAGACATACATGCAGGCTAACACCAATGCACAAAATTTTTTTTAATAAATTATTTTAAAAAAAGTTACCTAAGGGGTATGCATGACTGGAGAGCTGGCTCAGCAGTTGAGAGCACTGGCTGACCTTGGAGAGGACCTGGGTTTGGGTCCTCTCCCAAACCCAGGACACGGTGGCTCACAGCAGTCTGTAACTCCAGTTCTGGGGGTGACAGTGCCTTCTCTGACTGCCAACGGCACCTGGCACACACATGGGGCGCAGACAAATGGACAGGCAAAACATTCATACATGTAAAGTAAATGTTTTAATGTTTATATTTTGTTTGTTTGGTTTTGGTTTTGGTTTTTCCAGACAGGGTTTCTCTGTGTAGCCCTGGATGTCCTGCAACTCACTCTGTGGACCAGGCTGGTCTCAAACTCAGAGACCCACCTGCCTCTGCCTCCTGACTGCTGGGAACGAAGGTGTGCACCACCATGCCCAGCCTTTTTATTTTTTAAAAACACCTTGGAAACCAAGCATGTGGGCCACAGCTGTAGTCCTAGCACTGGGGAGGTGGAGGCAGGCAGGTTAGGGGTTCAAGGTCCATCTTGGCTACCAGTGAGTTTGGAATCAGCCTGAGCTACATGTTTTTAAAAAACAAAACAAGGCAGGCGGGTCAGCAGAGGCAGACAGATCTGACTTTGGGGCCAGCTTAGTCTACAGAGCAAGTTCCAGGACAGCCAAGGCTACACAGAGAAATCCTGTATCAAAAACCAAAACCAAACCAACTAAACAAACAAGAAAGTAAATAAACAACAAACAAACAAAAACCCAGGGAATGGGGATGAGTCATCCAGCATCCACAAAGCCAAGAGTTTGATCCCTGTTACCACACAAGCTGAGAGGGTGCCGCAACCGGTAATCCCAGCGTTCCAGAGCCGGTCAGTTTGAGTCTAGCCTGGTCTACAAGGACCATCTCAAGAGTCCTTGAAGTGGGAGGCAGAGCCGCCAAGCTCCGAGAGGAACCAGGGCCAGAACACTTGGAAGGAAAGAGAAGACCGTGGCAAGATCCTACCCAGAATGCCCGGGGCAGCCAAGGGTTCCTGCAGGAGGCTGATGGGACACCTCGCTTGGCGTTACTGGGGATGTGGGGTTTGGCCGGAGAACCAGGGGAGTTCCGGGCAGGGACGAACGGAGCAAAGCCCGTGAGAAGTGAGAATGTGCAAAGTGAGAATGTGAAAGGCTGTGGGGCGGGGTGTGGGGGCAAGTGGGCCGTGCCGCCAGCGAAGCCGGCCTGGAGCAAGAGTGAGGTTGAGACGTGTCCAGACCCTGAAACATGTCATCCTGAGACCGGCAGGAAGGAGGACTGTCCCTCCCTGTTCTGGACCCAAGTGCCCCGTGCACATGGCCTTGCCACCACCACCGCTGCCACCTTTGAGGTAGCCACGTGGCCTGGTGACCAGGGTCCAGACTGAGACCAGTTTCCTTATGTTCAGCTAGCGCCTGGAATTCCTCTTCATGCCAGTGAAGCATTCCACCCCAGCCAGCGACGGACACTCACCCCCAAACCCCCACCCACTTCCCCAAGGTTGATGTCACTCATTCCCCTCAATACAGGAGAGCCTGTTTCACCCGAGCCCAGCTGAGGTGTTTCCTCGGGTACAGGGTGAGGCTGGTTGGACTGGTCTGTGAGGACAGCAGCCTTGAAGGACAGCGGGTGCCAACTCCCAGCCGCCCCCACTACCCCTAGACACATCCCTGTGATGGGCAGGACTGGGACACTCGGTGGTGCCCTCCCGTCTCTCGAGGGACCTGCTGACCCAGCTCTTGGTGGGAGCAACCAGGAGGGAGCCACGTGAGCGGACCAAGCCGTTCCCCAGCCCTGCTGGTTTCAGCCCCTGTATGTCAGCCTGGAAGACGGGTGGACAGTCCTACCTGGTAGCCAGGTATGCTGTCTTGTAACCTGACTAACGGCAGGGGCGTTCCTCAGGAGGGCCAAGGGGGCTCTGTGTAACCTCTGTGCTCAGGCTGGGATGGAAGGGTTGGTTGGTTTGTTTGTTTGGGGTTTTTGTTTGTTTGTTTTTAATGGGAGGAAGACACATACCACAGTGAGAACATGGGATTAAAGAGGACAATGGAGCCTTTCTCTCCTGCCATTTAGGTGCTAGGTCACCAGTCTTGGCTGCAAGCACCTTTAACTGCTGAGCCTTCCCAACAGCCATCTTTCAGTGTCTCTGAGGCAAGGGTCTCATGGGACTTGAACTCCTGATCCTCTTGCCTCTGCCTCCCAGGAGCCAGGATTACAGGCAAGGGCCTCTATGCCCAATTTACCACAGGAAACAGATTTTTGGTGCTTTAGTTTTGTTCTAAGATAGAGTTCCACTCTGTACCCAGGCTGGCCTGGAACTCTAGGAGTGACCCAGCAGCTGGTTTCCACTGCCCCCTTGTGGACACCAACGGTTCCACCACTGTACCTCGCCCCTGGTCTTTCCAGCCAATCGTGGGACTTCCCTGGAATTCCATTGTTTGTTTTCAAGGCAGGGTTTCCCTGTGTAGCCCTGGCTGTCCTGGACTCTCTTTGTAGACCAGGCTGGCCTCGAACTCTCAGAGCTCCGCCTGCCTCTGCCTCCCTGAGTGTTGGGATCACGGGTGCGCTGCAGCGTTCCAGCTTATTCCGGGGATTCTTAAGTGACTCCCTCCCCGCTCAGAGGGTGTTGAGGCCCCAAAGGACTGGTCACGCAATGCTAGCCTGAGGATCCATTTTGAAGAAGTCACTTACACAGCAGTGGATGACAGAATCCGCCCAGAGTCCCTGAAGTTGGTGTGCCCCCCCAAGCTCCAGGAGGGCAGAGAGAGGCTGAGCTGGCTGTAGAGAAGGCAGGGACAAAATAACCACTTCCAGAGGGTTCTACAGCAGCCTCTGCCCTCCCTTAATCCTGCTCTGTGAGATCAGCCAGGTTGAGCCACACCCCCGGAAGCTGGAGCCTGAGGTCCTCCGAGCACAATGGCCGCCATGTTCACGAGATTGGCTGTGCTTGCTGGGGAGGAAACAGCATCAGGCCTGCTGACTGCTTCCTCAGAGCGGGGCCGGGAGGGTCACTGTGTGGTCATCTGAGAGTCCAGCCACCTTCCGCGCCTCTTGCCATTCGGATGCAGTTCTGCCCTAATCCCACAAGGCCTGGGCCTGGGCGGGGGTCAGAGTGTGTCAGCTGGGAACGGAACTGGGTGGGGCTAGGCTACCTGGCCCTCTCCATGCTGGGTGAAGACCTCCCTCGGGCGCCGCTTTGGGGTCCGCTCACGATCCTGTTAGCACCCCAGCACCTCCAGAGTGTCCACATGTCTTTCTGGGCAGCCTGCGGCCTCTCTTTCATCTTGATTTTACGATTTCTATTTGTGAGTGTAAGAGGGGAGAAATCGTGCGTGCGGATCTGGGGAGGCCGGAGGACCCCCTCGGACGGTGTCCTTGGGCACTGTGCACTTCTTAGAAAGTTGAACACGTTGTGTTGAGACAGGGTCTCTTGCTTGCCTGAGAGCTGCGTGAGAGCCTGGTGGGCCGGCGAGCCCGCTATGTCCCGCTGTGCCTCTGTCTCCAGGCACACCCTGTGCCTGGGGTTTGGTGGTCGTTCCCATGCCATCGTGCGCTTTGCCGGCCCGTGGGGGGGGGGACACCCTGTGCGCCTTGCGCCCATCAGAGGTCAGAAGGGGTTGCTGGTCTGAACTGTGGTCATTTGCGAGCTGCCCTGTCTTCACCACTGAGCCGGCCTCATGGTTTTACCTCATAGAAAATCATTGGCACAAGTCACCGCGGTGCCCACCTTTAACCCCAGCACTCAGGAGGCGGAGGCAGGCAGAGCTCTGTGAATTCGAGGCCAGCCAGGGCGACACAGAGAAACTCTGTCTCGAAAAACCAAAATAATCCTTTACACTTAAAAATGGATGAAGTGGGGTTCCCTACCCTCCCATTTTACTTTTTTTTTTTTTTTTTTTTTTTTTTTTTTATTGTTGTTGGTTTTGGAGACAGGGTTTGACAGGGTTTCTCTGTGTTGCCCTGGCTGTCCTGGAACTTATTGTGTAGACCAGGCTGGCCTCGAACTCACAGAGATCCGCCCGCCTCTGCCTCCTGAGTGCTGGGACTAAAGGAGTGCGCCACCACCCAGCTTCCTTTTTTTTTCCTTCAAATGTTTCTAAAGCTACTAAAGTTTCCCATTTACAAAACAGCTGATAAAAATATTCCCCTGGGTGGTACAGGGGGTGGGGCGGGGCCCTGGCAGACAGACAAGGGACCTGCGGCTGCCCACATCCCGCTTGCAGCCCGCTTGCCCCTGGCTGCCCTCGCCCCTCTGGTTTGCGCTCTCCTGTCTGGTGCCCTGGGCTTTCCTCCACTCCCTTTTGGCTGGGCGTCCACATTGGCAGGGCCCGGTGGCTCACAGAGCCGCCCTGAGCACGTCGACCCTGTGGTTTTCACATTGGCTCCGGGACTGACCCGGACTGGGTCCTCTGGCCTCGAGTCGAGTCAACAGTCTGGGTTCTCCCCAGACCTCAGATTTGTAGCCACCAAATGGCCCTACTGGCCGTGTACTGCACCCTCCTGAGTGTCAGGGTGACGCAGGCAACTGGCCTTGCACGGCAGTGTTTCTTCTCAAAGATGCTAAAAACCCAAATCCTCAGGGAGAAACGCACTTTGAAACAATCAAAACACAATACTCTTCCCAGAAAAACTGCATTTATTAAATGTCTCCGTGTGTGTCGGGAGCCACACTCCTGCCTCGGCACACGCGTGGAGGTCAGAGGGCAGCTTGCAGCAATCGGTTCTCTCCTGCCACGTGGGGGCCGAGTATCGAACTCAGATCCTCAGGCTTGGCAGCAAGCACCTCTACCCACTGAGCCCTCTCACAGGCCCCAGACACACTCTCTCTACTTTGGACTTTAGAATCTACAGTGTCCACACTTGTTCCGAGTCTAAGGGGCTTTCTCTGGGGAAACCAGATGCTGTGATCTGAGCACTCGCCAACAGCCTCCTACAGAGAGGGTGGGCCCCTTGGAAGGGGATCTACCTATCCTGGGCACAGCTGGGCCACCCTTAGTTTTATGGAACCAGACGTACCAACCAAGACACTCCCACGTTCCCGAGATAATACATGATTTTGAGACAGGGTTTCTCTGTGTAGCCCTGGCTGTCCTGGACTCGCTTTGTAGACCAGGCTGGCTTTGAACTCACAGAGGTCCGCCTGCCTCTGCCTCCCGAGTGCTGGGATTACAGGCAGTTGTTGGGTTTTGTTGCTATGTTCTCAGGGTGTCTCCTAGGGGCCGTCACCCCAAGGAAATGACATCTGTGTCTTCTCCCCGACGACCACACAGCACAATCTCGCTAATGTCCTCATAATCCCAACAGGCCCCTAAGTCTACTTTTCTAGTCCTTTGACAGACAAACAGGGTTCAACGCCTCGCCCCAGGTCCCGAGGCTAGCAAATGACAGGGCCAGGATTCGAACCCGGCACCCCGACTCCAGCATTTTCTCTTACCTAGTCTGTCACTCTCTGTCCCGTGATGTGGTCTCCAGATATTTTCAGCTCTTCCTCTGCTTCCTCACTGTGGCCAACTGGCATGGAGCACATGTGTGAGGCCTCCTTTGCGGTGGCGGTGGCCCCTTTGAGGAAGGTGACCCGGCCATGGCCCCCTTCCACGCCTACTCAAGCGTCGGTCCCGAGGGTGCTGGGGTCCTTCCGCCGGCCAGGGCTTGAGAGGAGCGTGTGCTGTGACTATGAAGGTGAGCTGGGCCGGCAAGAGGGTTCAGCAGGCAGAGGGGCTTGCTGCCTAGCCTGACAACACGAGTTTAATCCTGGGCTCCACCCGGTGGAAGGAGCGAACGGAATCTCCTCCCGCAAGGTGTCCTCTGACCTCCACAGACGTGCTGTGGCGTGTGCGCGCACACGTTTGCAAGCGTACACAAAAAAAAAAAAAAAAAAAAAAAAAACAAACGTCAAAGCGCCTTGATTGTAGGGCCTTGTATTAAGGTTCTCCAGAGGGACGGGACAGGATGAGTGTGCATGTATGGTGTGAAATATGTATATTATATACATGCACACATATATGTTATATGTACATATATTATACGTTTGCATGCACGTGTGTATATGTACATACATGTATACACACACGTATGTCTATGCATCCATGTAACAGATTACCTCCCTGCCTGTGCTGGGGTTAAAGCCATGCACCACCATCCCTGGCTTGAGCCCATCGTTTCGAAGGTTCGGAATCCAGAGGAAGCCAGGCCATCCCCACCGACTTAGCCTCTGGTGAGGGAGATGGAGGCACGTCCCAGGCAGGAGCACATGTGCCAAGAGGCACACCACGGACCAGGTCAGAAGGAGGCGAGGCACCCACAGCGCCTGCCCCGGCTCCTCCCGCAAGGACCCGCCCCTAGCAGCCCACGCCCTTCCCAACAGGAGGGGCCTGGGAAGAGTCTTCAGCCACCGCTGGAGGGCCAAGCCGGAGGGATGGCTCGGCAGGTGACGAGGCAGGTGAACGCTCTTGCGGAAGACCCAGGCTTGCTCTGGAGAACCTGCGCGTTGGTGCACAGCCACCTTCCACTTTGGCTGCCTTGAAAGGCACACACACACCGGGCACACACCGGGCACACACCGGGCACCTATGCCCACCCAGGAAAGGCTGGGCTCCACGTTCCGGTTTTAAAGGCGTCCAGATGGTCAAAGCCCTTGCCAGTGCAAGCAGGACAGAGGTGGCGTCCTCAGGACCCACCCGAACGCCAGGCGGGCAGGGCGGCCCGCGCCCTTTCAGCAGCCGCGGAGGGCAGAGACCATCCCCGCCACGGACTGCCTGGGGAGGTCAGCCTCAGCCAGCCCCCACTCAGCGAACCTGCCGCGGAGCTCCGGCCTCCACGTGCACAGGCGGGCACGCGGGCCCCCACACATGAAAGCATACGTGCGCACACACCAAACACACACACACACACACACACACACAAACAAAACAAAACAAAAAAAACAGGAAAAAGAAAAGCAGGTTTGAAGAACAGCAACAGAAGGAGGGGGTCAGTCTCCCAAACACGAAAGTGGGGTGTCTGGGGAGATGGGCCCGTGCTGTGCCCTGGCCTAGGCCGAGGCCCTGGCGAACAGCGCCTCTGCCCAGGCCCTGGGAGGGCAGGGACAGACGCGCTCTCAGAAGCCTCACGCTTCCCTCCCGTATGCATTTATTGGTTTCTCGTTCTCGTCACTCCCCGTTCTGAAAGTAGGACTGGCTGGGCCGGCAGGGAGACGGCCGGCAGCTGGACGGCCGGCAGCCCACGTCCTGTGGACACTGCAGGCTCACGATGACCTTGCAGGCCTGGATCTGCACCTCCTCCTCGGGGTGAATGACCAGGGACAGCAGCCGGTCCGCCAGCCTCGACTCGTCCCCGAAGAGGGCCTCGTGCAGGGACTGCTCGTGGTAATGCCACTTCACCGCGCGGTAGTGGGTGGAGTTCCGGCCCTCGCTCAGGCGCTCGGCGAACACCAGCACCTCGAACAGCAGGCTTCCCGGCTGGGTGGACTGGAACAGGCTCAGGAAGTTGGGATGTACCTGCGGGCGGGGGTGGGGTGGGGTGGGGTGGGGTGGGGTGGGGTGGGTGAGAGCCGGCCAGGAGCTCTCACTGCTCTTGCCGAGGGACCAGGCTGGGATGGGCTGCATCTACGCGGTGGTTTGCGGGGGAGATCTGGCGCCCTCTGCTGGCCCGCACAGGCACCGCGCACACGCGATGCGCAGACACACAATCTACCTCGTGAACCCAGTGTTCTCTAAAACCTCCATCCGCAGGCCTCCCGTCCTCTGTCCTCACCTGACAGTTGAGGATGTCGTAGAGAAGGTCGTTCTTCTGTGCCAGGTAACTCAGTAAGCGGACGGCTTGTACCTGAAGAAGGAAGAGCAGGAGAGGGCCGGTAGGTCTGGGCCTCAGTGGGGCGGCTTGAACCTCCGCTCTTCCCTCTTGCCGCTGCTCCGGGACTGGTGGGGGCGGAGCCGCGGCCCTGCCCGGCAGGCACCTGTGCCAGGATATAGTCCGCCTGCATGATCTCCATCAAGGCGGGCATCACCCGCCGCAGCTGTGGGTGGACGTAGTCCGGGAGGGGGAGGTTGTTGAGGAGTCGAAGGCCAGCTATGTGCAGCTCCGTGTCCCAGATGGTGGAGAGCAGTTCCAGCACCTTAATGGAATGTTCCTGGGGGGACAGACGGGCCTGCTCTCATTTGGTGACCTCAATGGCTCACTATGCACCATGTGGCCCTTCAGTGACCCCACCCAGGACCCAGGAGACAATCCTCCTCCCTTGAGCTGGAAGCACCCGGTGCCTCGGCTAGCCACCCTCACCCCTCATGCCTCCGGCTTCACCCCCTCGGGAAGGTCATCCAGCTAATCCCACTTTCTCCCTATCCCAAACCTGCTTCCTTGATCCTCGCCACTGGGGTCACATTCCCTCCAAGCCCCAATGTACAGCATTTTCCATTTTTTTTGTCCCTTCCCTCCCTCCTTCGCTCCTTCCCTCTCCCTCTCCTCCTCCCTCCCTCCCTCTCTCCCTCCCTTTCCCTCCCTTCCTTTCCCATCTCTCAATCTTTTTGGTTGTATCTTCAGACCTAACAAAAAAGGGGCTAGTGGGATGGCTTAGCAGATAAAGTGCTTGGGGCCCAAGCCTGTTGCCTGTCGACCTGAGTTCGAGCCCTGGAAGCACACAACAGTGGAAAGAGAGAACCAGTTCTGCAAAGTTGTCTTCTGACACACACACACACACACACACACACACACACACACACACATTCTTAATCCAGTAAAAGTGCTGCAGAGACGGCCCAGCAGGTGAAGGTGCTGTCAAGACTGACATGCTGAATTTGATCCCCAGGTCCCATGTCCCATGTGGTAGGAGGAGGAAATGACCTCTGCAGGGTGCCCTCTGACCTCCATGAGTGTGCCATGGCATGTACATGCACACACACCCACACACAGTAAGTAAAAAAAACAAAAACAAAAACAAAAAACATTTAGAGTTTGTAAAATAAAAAAAAAAATAAAAAAAAACTCCTGCACAGAACCAAATTGCCTTCCGCCCATGCGCATTTCCACCCTCGTCTTTCAGGCCTTCGTCTTTCAGGCCTTCATCGTCTCTCACCCAAGTTTCTGCCTCGGCATCCTGCCCTCCCCTCCATTCCACAACCCTACATCTTCCTTAGGAACACCCATTGGCTGTACTCCTGTCCTCTGACCTTCAGCCCTCACGTCCTGTCTTCCACTTTGGTGGTGCGGGGCTCACCTGCCTCAGGAGGCTTGCACAGGCCGTTCCCTCTGCTGAGAATGCCTTTCCACCAGCCGGAGCTCACCTGCCTGCATCCTCCAAGACTGCTTAAATGTCACCTCCACACACCCGGCACAAGAGTTTCCTTCCCCTCCATCTTTATTTCCTTTCTCCACAAGACTGTCCCATGTAACGTGCTTTTCCTTTTTTACTTTTTTAAACTTATGTGTATGGGAGTTGAAGCACATGTGTCTGGTACCCAGAGCCCAGAAGTCCTTGGATCCTCGGGGCTGGAGTTACAGATGTGAGCTAGGAACTGAACCCTAGTCGTCTAGGAGAGCAGCCATTGCTCTTAGACACTGAGCCCTCTCTCCGGCACTGTATCTTTTATTTTTAAGTAATTATGAACTATTAATAAATTTAAAATAAATTGTAAACTGAAGATTTAAAAATAATGGAGAAAAATGGCTAGGTGGTGCACGCCTTGAATCCCAGCACTCAGGAGGCAGAGACAAGCAGATCTCTGAGTGTGAGGCCGGCCTGGTCTACAGAGCTAGTTCTAGGACAGCCAGGGCTACACAGAGAAACCCTATCTTGAAAAACTCAAAGAAAGAAAGAAAAAGAAGGAAGGAAGGAAAGAAAGAAAGAAATCATATATATTTGCAACATTGTATAAGTTTAGAATAAAATGTTAAATAAGTAAACTTTGTTTTGTTTATATAGTTATAAGTTCACGGGAAGCTGCAGAGAAAAACCAGCAGGAAGTCCCCTTGCTCACCCCCTCGACAGACCCCCTCACCCCAGCCTAGCACAATAGAACCTAGAGAGGGCGCCTTGCAGTGTGAGTGCCCAGGCCCCCGTCTTATCACAGAGCTTTTCCGTGGCCGCCATCATCAGTATGTTCTGTCATCCTATCAGAACGGGGCCAGTGATGACTCTTGTGGGACCCTTTATAGTCCCTGCCACCTGCTTTCCTGACCCTGGCGGATGCTGATATGTCTTCCAACTGGACACTTTTTTGAGAATGTCGTATAAGAGAGATTACTCTTCGGGTGACCTACTGAGGTTGGCTGCTTCTCCACTGTAATCCCACTGAGACCTACCCCAAGTCATATGTGTCACTCCTCCCAGTTGCTGAGGAGGATTCCTTTGAATGGATTTAAGCATCCGCCCATTGAAAAGCCTTTTGGTAGCTTTAGTTTGAGCCAATTTGAAATAAGGCCACCGAGTAACAGTGCGCAGTTTCTGTGTAGCTATAAGTTTACATTTCTCAGGAATGCCCAGGAATGCAACTACCAGTTGAAATGTATATTCAATGTATGTTTTAAGTTTTGTTTTGTTTTGATTTTCAAGACAGGGTTTCTTTGTGTAGCCCTGGCTGTTAGAACTTGCTCTGTAGGCCAGGCTAGCCTCAAACTCATAAAGATCCGCCTGCCTCTGCCTCCCAAGTGCTGGAATTAAAGGCGTGTGCCACCCCTGCCCAGCCATAATGCTTTAAGAAACCATTAAGCTAATTACCAGAATGGCTCCAATTTTATATTAGCTGAAGGTGACCTTAAACCCCTGACCTCCTTGCTGTCCCTACCTCCTGAGCGCTAGGCTCACAGGCACCTAGTTTATGCAGTGGTTGGGATGGAGCCGGGCTTTGCACAGGCCAGGCAAGTGCTCTACCGACTGAGCCAAACCCCAGGTCCTATTTCCTCCTTTAAAGAGCACACGTTTGATGTGGCATAGAGGGAACAAAAGATCACGGCCTTCAGAACACTGCGACCCCAACGTGGACTTCCTCTACCCCTCTCCCTGTCTCTGTCTTCATCTCTATTGCTATGGAGCCTCACTCCCTAGCCCTGGCTCTCCTGGAAGACCGGGCTGCAAGGAGTTTGGGCACAGTGTACCCATTGCATGTGGAGGTGCAAGAAACACCAGGGCAGAGGCAAATGTCCAGCAATGGTACTCACAAAACAGTATAGATCGCCCACTATCAAAAGAAAGAAACAACGCGGCCAAGGAAAGATGAATCTTAGACTTTTCAATGTTTGGGGAGTGAAAGAGTACGGAAGAATAAAAGCCACATATGTATGGTTTGAAGCCAAAATGCCCCCCCCCCTCCCAGCTCATGTTTTGGATCGTTGTTCCCAGGTGGTGACACTATTTTGGGAGGCTGTAGAATGGTTGAGAGGTGGGGCCTAGCTGGTAGAAATGGGTTGTGAGAGGCAGGCCTTTGAAGGTTAGAACCTTCCCTTCTGGTTCCTGTGTCTTTCTCTGCTTCCTGGCCTGCTGTGAAATGTACTCTCTAGACCACAGGCTTTTTCTGCCTTGGGCCAAGCTGCTGTCATGCCTCCCCACTATGATGAACTGAAACTGTGAGCCGAAATAACTATTTCCTCCTTTAGGGGGTTTCTGTCAAGCCTTGTGGTAGTAATGCTCCAAAATTAACTAGTCTAGGAATTGGTACCAGGAGTGGGGTTGTTGCTAAAAGCCTGATAGTGTGGTTCTTAGGTCTTTGGAAGTTGTTTGAAGGAGGAATTTGGAAAACCTTGGAGATACAGACTAGAAACTCCCTAGAGCACTGGAAGTGGAGTCTGATCGGTCATTCCTGGGGTTGTTGTAGGATATAGACCGCTGGAGGCACCAAGCAGCACAAACTGTGTCCATGAGGCTTCAGGTGAGGAGCAAGAATCCAGTTAGGAATTAGGCCACAGCTCATCCACGTTTGTTAAAGAGTCCGTCTAGATTCCTCCTGTGTCATAAAGTAGTGAATGAGGTTGAATCTTAAAGGCAATGGGTGTGATTTGGTGGAACAATTTTTAAGACAGTCTTTGGTGCAGCTACTGTGACAGCACTGTGGCATGGTTATTGTTAACCGCCTTTAGCCAGACTCAGTGAAAACTGGGAGCAAAGAGCAGGGCCAGAGGATCTGAACACATGCCGTCTGTGCACACAGAAGGAGTGCATTTAAAATTACAGGGAACGTGGCTGTAACTGTTAAAGAGATTAACACCATGGTAGAACAGGCAAACCCTTTGCATGAGAAAAAGGTGACTCCTGAACATCTGACATACACACTACAGATCCGCTGGCAAGACTTGCTCTGTCCTCAAAGGCCACCTAGAAAAGTGTCCAGCAGCCTTGGCAACTCAAAGGTCACTGTGGCGGTGGTGCAAGATGGCCGAGACACTGCCAAGCTGGCAGCAAAGCTTGGCAGTGTAAATTGTGGGCTGGTGTTGCAGGTGTGCATGAATGAATACGGAGCCATGAGTGCTTCCACTGAGACTCCGGTGAAAAGCCCCAGAAACCAGACAACTGTTACAGAGTTGTGTTCCCTTCAGGAGCCCCCGAGAGGGTCAATCATAAGGCTGTGAGGGTGAAAACTAAGTGGCAATGGAACTCCAAGATAAGAGATGGCAAGAATGTAGGATGTCTACCTAGGAAAACTGTGGGTATAAAGATAGCAGAGCTGGCCCGAGAGAGAGGCAGGTTGTAAGCACAAGACCTTAGGGGCTGGATTCCACAAGCAAGCCCTTGACACTCCGTGCCACCATGGCTTCAACCACCAAATGTGGAGCTACAGGATTTAATGTCTGCTCTGCTAGGCTTTCGCCAGGCTTGCTCCCTACACCTTCCTTTCTCCAGCACTGTTCCCGCCACCCCTCTCCTCCCTTTCAGAACGGGAGTGCTCACTCTACAGGCATTCATTTCACATGAGGAGGTGACTATGAATCTTTGGAGCTAGGGTAGGAATTTTTATAGTTAGAATATGAAGTGTAGTGGGTGGAGAGGTGCCTCAGAGGTTAAGAGCCCTTGCTGTTCTGGGAGGAGACTCAAGTTTAGTTCCCAGCCTCTATGTGAGCTCCAAAGGAATGTGTCTCCCTCTTCAGGCCTCCAGGGTCCCTGCATTCATGTGCACATACACACAGATACACATAATCTTTAAAAATAAAGATAAAGTTCTCCACAGGCGAAGGTCTGGCGGGATCCAGCACCCTTCGGGGTGGGACCTAGCCAGCTAAAGTGGTTCACTATGAGCGGGGTCTAAAGGCTCTATCTGTCCCATGGTCCTGATTCTCTCTATGCTTCACGGTCATCTGTGAAGTGGCACGGCCCGCGCCACAAATTCACCACCAGAAGCTGAGAAAAAGCCAACGTAACCTTCTCCCCCGAGCTGTCAAATGTCATCGGAGATACCACATCCCTGTGCACACAGAACTTCAAACACAACAAACCTCCATTTACCCATCTGGCCGCCTTTTGCCTCGCAAAATGCACCAATGCAGGGTGCATTTCTGCTCCTCCAGCATCAAATGTGAGGCCTCAACCCTTCTGGAGGGGAGGGTGGGATGGGAGAGGTGCCATAACGGCTGTGCTGTTGCTCGCTGTTGCCCAGCTTGGGGCTGGCCACACTTAGGAACTTTCTTTCCTGCTGTATGAGGGAGGTGCTGCACCCATGCACACACATGGAGGTCAGGGGACACCTGTGGGGGCCATCCTCTCCTTCCACCATGTGGGGCCCTGAAAATTGAAATCGGGTTGTTGGGCTCAAAAGCAAGTGCCCCTACCCACTGAGCCATCTTGTCCCTGGGTTTTCTTTCTACCTCATACATATAAGAACATATATGTTTTAAGTTAGGTGGTGATGACCCACACCTTTAATCCCAGCATCCGTGAGGAAGAGGCAGTCTTGTGAGTTCGAGGCCAGCCTGGTGAGCTCCAGGACATCTAGGGCTACACAGAGAAATCCTGTCTTGAAAACCCCAAAAAAAGAGCCAGGCTGGGTGGTGCACACCTGTAATCCCAGCACTTGGGGAGGCAGAGGCAGGCGGATCTCTGTGAGTTCGAGGCCCCGGCCTGGTCTACAAAGTGAGCCCAGGACAGCCAGGACTACACAGAGAAACCCTGTCTCAAAAAAGAAAACACAAACTAAAAAACAAAAACAAAAACCCCCCACAAAACATAACTATATAAATAACCAATAATGTGCATGTGTGTGGGTGTATGATTTAAATACTGAGCTTTTTACTACATAAAAATTGATTATTGTGTGTATGACTTGGGAGTCAGTTCTCTCCACCCATTGTGGTTTCTGGGAATCAAACTCAGATCAGCACTTTTAGTCTCCTGGCCCTTAGCTATTTTTAGCTGGTGAGAAAGAGGCATTTTGCTAGAAGGCAATTTGGGGTCAAAGACCTTATATTTTACAATTTACTTCTTTTTTTTTTTTTCCTGAGACAAGGCTGGCTTCAGACCACAGTCCCCAGGATGGCCTTCAACTCCTGACTCTCCTGCCTCCACCTCCAAAATGCTGCGGGTACAGGTGTGTGCCGAAACACTGGGGCTCTTGCCTAGAGGCCGGGACTCCACCAACTGAGCCAGCTGCTCTTTTAACACTGAATGCTTCCTGACACCACACCCTCACGGCTGTGAGCCCTTAGGTCACTGAAAAAGGATGACGAGGGGACAGAAATCTCCAGCCCCCCTCCAAGCTCCACAGACAGGAGGGAGCAGAGCCGGTGGTCACCGGTATGACCCCCCCTACACGGGGCTTGCCATCGAAACCCTGAGCAGTGAGGGTTTGGCCTGCATGGGGGACAAACCTCCATCTTTCCTCTGGCCCTTGGTCTATTTCTCCTCACTTCTGTCTGTCTGGTGTGGAACTGTGACCCCTGTGTCATTTCGGGGTCCCCTCAAGGTGCGGTCACCCTAGTTTCATAACCCGCCTGTCACAAGTCAAATGACAGCTGGTGTTGAAATGACAGGTCTTGAGAGTTACACCGTTACCTCCAGCTGTGGCTGCGGCCTGTGGGGAAGCTGACAGCCGACTCCTCACTCAGTTCTGGGTCACAAACTCAGGTTGGAACAGACTTCCCTGACATCACCACTTACCCAAGAGAGTGGAGGAAAGGGCCCAGCCCTTCGGACCCTGGGAGCACCCTGCCGATCGGCAGGGGCAGGGCTCACCTGGATTTTGAGCCTGAATTTCCTGATGCCAGAGAAAGCTTTCAGTGCATTCAGAGCTTGGATCTTGACACTGTTGTCTGTGTCATCCAGCATGTCACCCACCAAGCAGATGTCTTCCGTAGTGCAAGCAGAGGCCTAGAGTGTGTGAGGAGAGGTGGGAGACAGGAGGAGCGGGTATCCGGGGGCCCCTGGTCCTCACCGCCCAGTCTCTGACACACACACACACACACACACACACACACACACACACACACACCGCCACCAGTCAAAGGGAAGGTGCCTGGGGCTGAGCTGCTGCCTGGGGCTGCGGAGGAGAGGGAGGGGAGCAGGCCGAGCGAGAGGGGCCCCACCTCCCCCCCCCCCCCCCCCCGCCTCACCTCAGTCTCCAGCAAGTACACACAGCGGGTGATGCTGTGCAGGATCATGCTCTTGACATACTCGTCATGTTTGCACTCTAGAGAATTGAGAAGTCTTCGGATCTCGCCAGAGTCCCGCCCGTGGCGCTCTCTCTCGATGGCCAGGCCTAGACAGCGACCCCACCCCCGCCCCCCCAGCCCACAGTTAGGAGACCTCGACTCACAGCCTGAGGACAGCAAGGGGCTGGGGAGTGGGGCTGGGCCCCAAGGACCAGAGCATCTGTCCCTTGGGTGTCTGTTGACAGCCTTCCCGGCGGGCAGCACTAACAGGTAGCGCTTTGTTCTCAGCGGCAGTTGGCAACCGACAGTCTCAGAGGTGACCCTTTTCCTGATGGCATGCAGGCAGTGCCCAAAAGTGTCAAACATTTAAACTATCCCACCACCTAGTTGGACTCTTTTTTTTTTTAATTTTTTTAATTTTTTATTTATTTAACTTTATTTTATGTGCATTAGTGTGAAGGTGTCAGATCCCTTGGGATTACAGACAGTTGTGAGCTGCTATATGGGTGCTGGGAATTGAACCCGGGTCCTTTAGAAAAGCAGGCAGGGCTCTTAACCACTGAGCCATCTCTCTAGCCCCCCTAGCTGGAATCTTAAGAGCAAAAGGTCTGTCAACTTTTCTTCCCTCAGTGTCTCCAGTGGGTAAGCGTGGGATAAATAAAGCTTTTGATTTCCATTTTCAATATACAGAACAGAAAGAGACAAAGCGGGTGACCTCTGGGAGGGAAACTGAGGCAGACCGGAGAAGAGAAATGAAGAGAGGGAGGCGCTTGAAGGAGGAGAGGAGGAGGCCTGGGGAGCAGGGGCCCCCTGGGGCAGCCCCCTCTCCCCAGGGCCTGGGCACTCACGGGCGATGCAGATGGGCGAATTGGAGCAGAGGGGCGGTGTGCATTTTATGCCCACCCTGACGGCCTTGTACAGCAGGTAGAGGGCCCCGGCGCCTGTGACTAGGCCCACAATGCTCTTGCGGTAGTCCAGTTGCTGCAGGCACCGGGGAAAGGTCTTTCCCATGTCTTCAGTGCTGTCTTGTGTTTAGGTGGGAGCTAGGCCTGGGGCTCCTGGGGAGAACATTCCAGAACCAGAACCCTGGCAGGGCCGAGAACCAGGGCGCTAGAATTGGAACTAGGCAACAAAGGGAACTTTGGAGATGCTGGGGTCAAGGATGGCCCTTGGGGAAACAGGCCCAGAGTGCTCCGAAGCAGAGAAGATTCGGCTTCGGGAGGCTGCCAAGAGGAAGCCAGAAACTGGGGGTATAAGGTAGGGAGGGCTGGAGGGGGCTCAGAAGCAGCACCTGCCCTACAGGGCCAAGCCTGTGGTCCCATCACGCAAAGCTTTCTATCGTCATCACTTATTTATTTATTAGCTGGGTCTCACCATGTAACCCGGGCTGGCCTGGGACTCGGAAATCTACCTGCCTCTGCCTCCCCCTTGCTGGTGTTAAAGGGGTGTGCCACCACTCCCGGCTTGTTAAATGAGGTGTGAGTTAGGTGTGTCCCACACGTGCTCGTGGGTCCCCACAGAGCTAGAGCTGTAGGTACAGACAATCGCCAGCTGCCGGACGTGAGATCCAGCAAGCAGACCTGGGGCCTCTGGAAGAACAGCAAGTGCTCTTCACCACTGAGCCCTCTCTCCGCCTCTTATTCAGTTTCTGAGGTAAGATATCACTTAGTGCGGGCCGGCTTCCGTCTTACTGTCTTAAGAACAACCTCGGTTGGCCCTCCTGCCTCTACCTCCCCAGGGCCGCACTCCAGGTGTGAAAGGGAAAGGCTTTTCCTAGCTGAAGTGTTACGGCTGCGCTCAGCTGCACTGCGGCAGGGGAATGTTTCCCCTGCTAGTGGAACGGTTCTGCTCCGTTCTGCTCCGGGAGAGGGTGCCTTCCCGGCTACCGGCTACCGTGTAACAGTTCTGCTGTGCCAGGAGAGGTTTCCCTCAGGGAAAGTGGGGCTACCCTGCTTCAGGAGGCGCTACACTGTGAACTGTGAGGTGCCCTTGGCAATAGGGAACCAAGGGATACCACAAAGCCACACCTTAGAGCAAACCTCACGCGTACCATCTGTCCGGGAGAGGGAAACTCAGGAAACTGTGCCTCTGTGCCACTGAGCAGCAGCAGGGGACTGAGCAGAAGGCGGGGCGGATATAGGAGTTCTTGGGGGGCAGGGAGGCAGTCAGAGCTTTCCAGGGTGAGGACCGGTGGGTTTCTGCGGTGCACCCAGGGATTGGCGGGGGTTTTGTGGCAAGCTTGGGGGTTGGTAGGATTGTTTCTTGTCCCTGGCCTTGGCCTTGGGGTCAAGTGTGGGTCCGGGTAGTCCTTCCTTGACCCTGGTCTTGGGGTCATGTTTGAGTCAAGGTGTTTCTTTCCTTTGCCCTTTTATCCTACATCACCCTACAGTCCTACAATGGGGGGCTGGAAAGCGGGCGGTGTTGTCATCAGCCTACTCCCTGCTGAATTGGGGTATGGAGGTCCTTGGGGAAGTTTGATTTTCACCATCAGGGCGTAATTGAGTGCAGCAGGCCTCGCCTTCACAGCGAGGGGCTGGTACTCTTGTAAGATGACGGACTAAAAGTCTGGTCAGAAACCTTTTCAATCTGTTACTGAAGAAATCTAGGCAAGAAGGTGGCGAGGCAGGGTTCGATTAGCAGGGTTAAGAGGAGGAGGAGGAGGAGAGGGGATGGGAAGGGCGGCATCCGTTCCCTCCTGTTCTGTCAGTGACTCACCGGCGAGGGGCAGCGGGCCATTTCTGCCATTTTTGGAGACCTGTCTGGAATTGTGGATCCTGTCCTGCACTCTGCCCGGCTGGTCAACACAGAAGCAGCATCCCCCCACCCCCAAGGAATTGACGAAGAACGCCTCTCTCTGGGGTTAGTGAATCGAATCCTTGCCAGTTTTCTTAACGCCGCTGAGGCCAGTGAGTCTGCCTGCCCTAGGAGGGGAAGGATGGTCCGAGCCACCCACCCATTGGCGATCCCAGAGAAACCGAGAGGAAAACGGACGGTAAACATCTAGGGAACGTCTAGCCAGCCCTGTCAGTCCAGTGGTGAGGCCTGAGGCTAGGCCCAGGATCCTAGGAAGGGTCTGACCTGGATTGTTCATTTATCGTGCTGTGCCACTGTAAGCCTTGTGTCGGGAATTGGCAAGGGCTCCTCACCAGATACCACCCTTGGTTTGGGAAAAGGAACACCAGGACACAGGTCCCAGATCACCCAGTGCTGGGCAGGGGCAATCTTGCGTGCCGTGGGTAACGGAGGTATTGTGAACGTTTGAACAGCAGGGCTGGGTAGGAGCGCTAAGGGTTAGGACACTGACAGTCTGCGGGCTGCCGTGGGCCCACCGAGGGTCTTCCTGGGGAGCTGAGGCCGTGTGTGATGCCAAAGGAGAGACGGGGGGGGGGGTTGAGGGTGGTGGAGGGATTTGGCTTAGAGCAATGAACAAGTTGCAACGTGAAAGGATCTAGTAAGACGATGGGCGAGTCCAGGAACGGTGGTGAGGAGTTTGGCCCGGGAAGGACACACAGCCAACATTCTCCACAGCGGCCAGGCATTCAGCAGCTGCTATGCAGAGGTCTGAATCAAGAGAAGGGGAGGCGGGATCCGGTATCATCTAAAACGGGGTGACCTTAGGGGCGTAAGGACCTCTGGAGAGCGTTGGGCCAATCCCTCTACCGTGTCTATACACCTAGGGGCTGAGAGAGGGTGTGTGTGATGGGGGGCTGTGATGAATGTCATAGTCCAGTTTACCAGGGACCCCTGGCTCCCATCTATGGGCCCTTAGTTAGAGCATGAAAGAGTAAATTCTTCGGAACATTTTTGGTTATGCAATGACAGAAGTGGCCGTCACTGAGAAACCGAGCTTGCCGGCTCTGGCCGAGGCCAACCTGTCGGTGATGGCAGATTGGGGCTTTAAGATCTGAGTTCGTGGCGGAAGAGAGGAAGGGTCACAAGGCCCGGCTGGAGGGAATTTCTGTAAGCTCCAAGTGGGGGCTGAGAGACAGAGGAGCCCATGAGGCGTGGGGAAGCTGGGAGATTTCAGGACAGAGCTGAGGGGCAGGAGGGGCAAGGGGCCAAGAAGGGCCTAAGGACCCTGCGTGGCTTAGCAGGCAGCGCCTGGGGCAGGAGGGAGGAGGTAGGGAGGGTTCCAGGAGAAGGGGAGGAGCAGGTCTTTTAATGACTGGAGAACTGAGCAGGCCCTGGGAGCCAGAGAAAGGCTCCTCACCAAGTAGGCGAGTAGGCGAGGAGGAAGGAATGTTGGGAGCAGGTGGAGGGAAGAAGCTGCCGATGGGGCAGGCTCTGGTTGACGCGCTGGGCAGCGGAGGCCTCTGGCAGAAACAGATGGCCTGGAGAGACAGTCAGTGACCTGAGTCAGTGTGAAATACTGGGACGTGGCCTGGCTGGAAGGTATGCACAGCGTCGTCAGCTAGTTACCAGAAAGAGAGAGAACCCTGGAACGGGTCACGTTGGAGGCCCTGTATGTTAGGGGGTGTTACAGGTGGTGAAAAGGGACGCCTGTAGAGGGTGGCCCAAACCTTTTATTGATTTGCATGCCCCAGGACAGGCAGAATGTTTTCCTTGGTGGTGGGCACTGCGAGCGACCGAATTGTCTTCTATCTAGGATAACGGCCCTGTGAGTTGGAGCGATGGTAATCCCAGATCAGCAGCCTGAGAAGCAGACAGCTGGACCTCAGAGGGCCAGAACCTATGACCCCGGCTGGACAGAAGGTTTAATGAGGTAGAGGTGTCGGCCTGGCCAGTCTTCAGGGGTGGACTAAGGAGGAGAGGATCACCCATCGAGTTACAGAGAAGCGTGTGCGTTGTGAGCGTCTGCTTAGTCTGAGTGAAGATGGAGATGTTTTGTGTCTGTGTGTCAAGGCGAATAGAAAAGAAGGCGCCCTTGAGGTCTAGGACAGAGAAGTGGCCGACTCTGGGGGGGACGGTGGAGAGGAGAATGGAGGGGTTGGGTACCACGGGGTGAAGGGGAGCCGCTGCTGAACAGACAAGTGGGGGATCCGGAACCAAGCGGTAGGTTCCGCTGGGGTTTCTAACTGTGAGGATGGAGGTGTTAAAGGGGAAGACGTCTGCCTGCCTCTGCCTCCCAGTGTTGAATACTCAAGCCAATTTTGATCGAAGACACAAAGAAATTTGGGCAACTCCGAAGTGACGAGGACAGGAGGGTCTTGACAGCCCAACCGGGCGGAAGGAGCTGCAGGGTTTGCAGCTCCCAGGATGGTGGGCCGGGGCCGGGTGGACAGGGCCAGCCGCAACCTTAAAGACCACGTCTGGGGGCGCCTCTGCCGCCAAGGGCACCACAGGGGTGCCAGATCCTTCTGGTCCCTTCCTCCCACTCAGGGAAACGTTTACAGCGACCAGAGGCTGGCGACGGGGCGCTGAGCGGTGGCGAGCGCGCGCGGCTCGCACCACCAGGGGGCGCTCCGGCTCCGGGGGCGCCTACCCGGGCGCGGACGGCGCGCACTCGCCTACCCGGGCCTGCTCGCGGGGACCGGCGGGGTCTCCCGCGCAGGGGCTGGCCGGCTTTGCGGCCGGCTCAGAGGCTGGTGGGGTCCGTTGCTCGGGCTCGGGGTCAAGTCTGGGCGGGTGCGCTTTTCCCTCTGCCCCTTCACCCTGCCGTGAGAGCGTGTGCATCTGTGGGCGCGTGGGTGCGTGTGCGGGTGTGAAGGCACGTGTGCTCGCGCGCGTGTCCGAGGCCCGGAGGTTCGCCTGGAGCCCCCTCCAGCCTGCCGCCTCCGCTGTGATGGCAGGTGTGGGTGCTGGGAACTGAACTCGGGACCCCAGCGCGAGCAGCGTGCACGCCTAACGGCCGGGCCCCTCCCCGTCATACTTATTCGAGACAGGAGCTCTCACGGAAGCTGGGGCTCACCAGCCTGGCTCCCGCAGGTCCCTAGCAAGCCCAGGCGGTCCTGTGTCTCCAGGCCTCCAGCGCTCAGACGACAGGCACACGCTACTGTGCCTGGCTTTTGTCTGTCTTCTGAGACAGGGTTTCTCTGCGGAGCCCTGGCTGT